CATACAATATATGAGAAGAACATAACCCTTATCATGCCAACAACTGGTTTTAGAATAAATGTGTTTATTTCCGATGCAAAGACCCTATGAGTGAATTAATATTAATACCAAAATATGCCATCTTTAATGACCTGACAACAGTATCGTAACTATATCCCTTCTTCATATGTCTGTTTAAAGGTTTGGTTAGCTTTTGAGGTAAATGCCGACATTTTTGTGCTTTGTAAAGAATATTACCATAAAAGATTGGATGTGAAATACCTGAACGTATAAGATGTCTGCATGTTGATTTATATTTACCAATGATGTCCTTGTACCGATGATAAAATTTAGTTAATGTTTTGACTAGTTTGTGATATCGAAAACCCTGGTGTAATAATTTTTCAGTAATACATAGATTTCTTTCGTTAAAATAAAATACGTTGTTACATACACGAGCGAATCGAACAAGTTGAGATATATAAACACGATAAGATGGTGACAAGGAAACGTCACCATCTAAAAATGAATAATTAACAATAGAAAATGAAAAATCAACTCTTTTATTATAAATTTTGGTATAAAGCTTCCCGATAAAGATTTAGATATCAAGATCCAGGATAGGGCAGTGTTCATTGTTAGTATTAGCTTTATTTAAAGTCAGTTCAGCAGGATAAATCTCTTTAGTGTAAATTCTGAAGTCGTCATTATTGAGAGCCAATCTATCATCCAAATATCTAGAAGTGTTATTAAATTTTTGTATCAGATGTTGTTTAGATGGGTCTTTTCTGATTTTAGTCATGAATTGTAACTCATAACAATACAGAAACAGGTCCGCAATAAGTGGTGCACAGTAAGTCCCCATTGGAATTCCGATAACTTGACGATATACTGAATCTCCAAAGCGGGCAAAAATGTTATCTAGTAAAAATTCAAGGGCAGTTATTGTATCAAAGCAAGTCCAATTGACATAGTTCTTTTGTTTGTTGTTACTAAAAAAAATGACCTCAAAGAGTTGGAACATATATGTTCGCATTCTGACTTTTTAAATGCCCATTTAATTAGGTGAGTGATTTTTTTCTTAATAAGATTATGAGGCAAAGTGGTATATAGGGTTGAAAAATCAAAACTTTGAACGGATTAAAAATCACCAATATAAGCATGCAATTTATCAAGTACTTCCAACGAATTTTTGACACTCCAAAAGTTATTAATTCCACTATTTTCAAGGGCCATATTTGAACAATTTATTATCAGGTTTTTGTTTGTACCAAGTGTACTAGTAAGTAGAATAGACAGTTTAGTAGTGGAACAATGGCTTGAAGACGAAATAAATCTATATTCGTAAGGTGTTTTGTGCAGCTTCGGAAGCCAGTACCTAGTTGGAACTTTCATTGTATTTGGTTCTGCTTGTAAAGAAGTAGCTAAAAGTTTATGTTTGTTACAGATGTCATTTTCCTACATTCATACCATACATGCAAATAAATGTAGTGTTATATATAGTTGAGTGTATAGTAAAACAAGAAAAATATATTTTTACAGATTTACACAAACAAGAAATCAGGGCCTGGAAAAAACATGAAGGTAGTTTAGTTAAAAAAGATGTCATTGAGAACATACAAAGGCAGTTACAAGACTCATCATGTATAGCACTTGTAGGACCAGACAAGAAGGAAGTAAATGATATTTTACATCATACTGCACTTGCGTTTGTAGAAAGAAATGAACACTATGTTATATTACCTTTTAAAAGTCCTGTTGAAATTGTACAACACTATAAGGATGAAATGTATCAATTTTTCATTTTGGAAGATCCATGTGGTCGTGAATTATCCCTGCAAACCACAATCGAGTATATGGTTCAACATGACGGAAGTTTCAAACAAATGTTACAAGCAGACAAGACGAAAATCATGATAACTTTTACCCCAAATGTATTTTGGAAATTTCCTTACTCAGGGTCCTTCTTTGATGAACACATAACGATTTTAGCACCAGACTATGCAGTTTCGTTTGGGAGTCAACAACTCATTGATTTAGACGATTGGTTTCTCAATGATAGACCAAGACATTGTGCATTGTTTGCAACAGTTATACGTAATGGTTATATATTAAGTGGTTCACATTTTAAACAACAGGAAACTGCACAAGAAACAGCAAGATTTAATCAAATTTGCAGAAAATATTCACTTGATTGTGATCAAGTGACTGAAAGCTTTCGCGATATTCCTGGAAATTATGTTTTTAAAAAAGATAATCAGTATAGAATTCCACAACCAATGCTTAATTTTCTCTGTTGCTACTTTGGTAGACATACAGAACTGCAGGACCTTTTTTTGAAGTCTGTCGATGGACATTTTTTTTATGAAAAAATAGTTTTAGAGTCCATACAGGTTGAAATATCGGACAGCTTGATAAAAGTTAAAGAGTCTTACGAGAAACATTATTTCCAACGCGTTCTTTATGATGTGTCGCGAAAAGATACCGAGGTACTTTATTCCAAACAAATGCAACATCCGGTGTATAGAGATTTACTAATGCGATACATGAAAACATCCTTGGAAACGGGAGAAATTGACATATTAAATTCAAAGGAACTTCTTGAAATTCAGGTCATTAGAAAAAGGTCGAGGTCACCCCTAATAGCGGTATGTAGCGAAGGATATGAAGATATTTTGTCATTTATGTTATGTCATTTGGGTGAAGACATTAGAGTTAAAACAGTTTATGATCTGTTAAAGATTTCAATCGATCAAGAATATTCATTACCGATTATAAAGTCGTTGTTAGACAAAGTTAACGATGTAAACAAAATAACGGATGACTCATGGAGCGCATAAAGCGCTGCATGTTTACGACAGAATCCAGAGTTAGCTGATATATTGATTACTAAAGGTGCCAATGTTGACAGAGTTGATTTAAAGGGAACTACGCCGTTGATGCTGGCATGCTATCATGGGTTGTATTCAACAGTACAGTTGCTTATCAATAAAGGGGCAGACATATATAGGCTTGACAGTCGTAATATGTCGCATTTTAAATATGCATGCGTTGGTGGACATGAAAATATAGTTCTATTATTTCTAGAAAAGGGAGTAAAATCTTCTAGCACTGCATACAAAGATGGAAGACTGGCACTCGTTTTAGCATTTGAGGAAAAACATAACAATATCATCACGTTACTGAAAAACAAAGGCTTCGGATTAGAAAGAGAAGATGAATTGGGTAATACAGCCTTAGTCAATGCGTGCAAGAATGGGGACAACAGAACAGTGCAAAGTCTCATTAAGTTAGGAGCAAATGTAAATGTACGTGACGATACAGGATTGACTCCGCTACTCCGCACATGTTCGAGAGGAGAAATAGAAATGGTTAAAGTACTTATAACGGACAAAAATACCGACCTTAACATTGCAGACGAAGAAGGATGGACACCTTTAAAAAGGGCATCGTTGAATGGACATAGTCAGGTTGTTTTAATCTTGGTGATGACAAACCAAGTTGAAATTGATAAAGCTGACAATTGTGGTTGGACTCCACTTATGTCAAGTTGTCAGGAAGGACATCTGGAGATCGCAAACCTTCTTGTTTGTCATAATGCAAATGTAAATCACAAGAGCAATGATGGAAAAACGCCCCTAATGATTGCAGCTCAGTACGAGAATAATGAGATCATCAATCTTCTTCTTGAAAATAATGCCAACGTCGATCTCGACGATGACTATGGAAGAACACCATTGATTGTAGCATGTAACGTAAACAACGATCAAGCTGTTTGCCTTCTGCTTAAAAAGGGTGCGAATGTCGATAAATCTGATGGGAATGGTTATACTCCCCTTATAATTGCATGCAGAAATGAAAATGCTAGCCTTGCTAAAATATTAATCAATGCCAAGGCTGATGTGAATTTAGCAGATAATAATGGAAGGGCTCCACTGAAAACGTCGTGCAATGCAGGCGACGAGGACACGGTAAAATTACTCTTACGCAGTAATGTTGACATAGAGAAAAAAGACAAAGAAGGATGGACACCCCTGAAAAGTGCTTCTGTCAAAGGCCATTGTCAAATTGTCAGAATACTGTTGCAGAATAAAGCTGATGTTGACAAAGTTGATAATGAAGAATGGACATCACTGATGACAGCATGCCAAACCGGAAACATCAAATTGATCAGTGTGCTATTAGAGAACAAGGCTGATGTAAATTATTGTAGTAAATCTACAGGTGATACTCCTATTATCATAGCATGCACATATAGCAAAAAGACAGTAGTTGAAAAATTGATAAAAAATGGTGCTAATTGGAACAAGCCCAATAAAATTGGACAATCTCCTCTTTTAATGGCCATTATGTATGGGAAGAAGGCGATTGTATCAATGTTACTGCAATATGACGTTGATCTAGATGTTCAAGACCAGAGTGGTGTAAGTCCGTTAAAAGCTGCATGTAATGGAAATCACCTAAATATTGTTAAATTACTTGTAAGTGCCGGGGCCAGTATTGATGCTTTAGATGGATATGGTTACACTCCGCTCCTAAGCGCCTGCGAAGTACAAAACCCACAACTAGTTGATCTGCTCATTCAGTCAAATGCAAATGTGAATAAATGTACACCTGAAGGATGGAGCCCTTATCTTTTTGCCATTAAGAACAGTAATAATGAAATAGCCAACGTTCTTGCTATTTATGGAGCTGACCAAAACCGTGTATCATTATTAGAAGCGTGTGAAGTTGGATATCTTCCTATAATTAAACTATTACTAGATCAAGGTCACAATGTCCATTCAAAAGACATTGATAACATGACTCCATTTAAAATGGTGATTGCAAAACGACATTTTGATGCTTTGGATTTATTCATAAAGAGAGAAATACAATTTGACCTAGACAGTGTCATGTTAAGGAATCTCATTGAAGTGAATGATGTTGAAGGTTTGTCTGCTCTAACTAAGGCATGTGCAGGCGGAAACAAAGACACATTAACTTACCTTCTTGACCAAGGAGCTGAAGTATTAAGGACAGACGGTAAGGGGTATTCTCCTTTAACATACGCATGTTTAAACGGACAAGAGAAAAATGTTGATATATTTATTAAAACGATTATTCACAAAAATACTCAAAGTTTACCTGAAACTCATAGCTTATCTCTAGACACAGTGGACGATATCGGATACACCCCTTTGACAGCGGCAGCAAGCAAGGGACATGTCCGAATTATAGCGTCACTTATTTGCAATGGAGCAGATGTTAACAAATTGGATGGACATAGTCTATCACCAATTATGTATTCCTGTCAGAGAGATGATTTACCAACGGTTGAAGTGCTGTTTGCAAAAGGAGCCAGAATAACTTCTGTATCTGAGTGGAGAATCTCTCCTATCGCATTTGCGCAGCAGGCTGACGCATGGGATGTTGTAAACTATTTTATAGAAAATGGAGTTAAAATCAAGCATGAAGATCTGATTAATACCTGTGAATATAGTCATAACATCCTCACCCTGGCCTGTAAAAAGGGATCCAAGGCACTTACTGAATTTCTCATCAGTGATACACGCGCTATTTTAAATTACATTGATGGTGAAGATTTAAGCATTCTAATGCATGCATGTAAGATGAACCAAAATGAGATAGTTGATATAATTACAACAAAAGATATTGACATAGACTTAGCAAATTCAGATGGTTATACAGCTCTGATGGTTGCATCTTTTGAGGGATATACAGATATAGCTGAAATCTTGTTATCTAATCAAGCAAATGTTAATAAAGTAAGTAACTCTGGACTTACCTCGTTGATGCTTGCATGTGAAAAGGGTCCAGTGTCAATTATCAAACTATTGATGGAAAATGGGGCTGACGAAAACAAGAAATCACTTGATGGGTTGTCTGCTTTGACAATTGCTTGTTATTCTGAAAATTATGAGGTATTAGATTACCTTTTGAATAGTCAATTTGATAAACTGTTCGAAGATGATATACGGCGTTTGTTGTTGGTTGGTAAAAAAACAGATAGAACAAATCTAATTCGAAAAGTTTGTAAGAATGGCTTTAAATCAATATTTGAAATACTGATTGAAAGTGAAGATAGTATCGATTCATCTGATGGAGATGATAACAGTTATCTTATGCTTGCAAGCAGAGGAGGGCATGTTGAAATCATCGACACTCTGCTTAAAAGAAGGGCAAAAATAGATTTAAAAAATAAAAAAGGATGGAATGCTCTCAAGTTGGCATGTTATGGGGGCCACGCAAGATCTGTGAAAATTCTTTTGAAAAATGGGGCAAATCCCAATCCAATTGATGATGAAGGTCGAACTCCATTGATGATTGCCAGTCAAATTGATTGCCTTGACGTCATATCAACATTAATACAATACGGCGCTGATTTTAATTTGATTGATAGGAAAGGAACATCAGTTCTTAACCTAGCTTCAAAAGAAGGTCACTTTGAAGTTGTTAAATATCTAATTACCAAAGGAGCAGACGGTAGTAAAATTGACAACGAAGGGTCGAATCCTTTAATGGCAGCATGTAAAAATGGTCATATTGAAATAGTTCGGTTTATCATCAATTCGAAAACAAATTTAAACTTGCGCGATAATAATGGATTCACAGCTCTCAGAATAGCCTGTGACGGTTTCCATGATAACGTTGTCGTTATTCTGTTTCAAAATGGCGCAGACATAGATAGAACTGACAATAATGGTCGAACCCCTCTTATGTCCGCTTGTCAAAATGGACATAAAAAGATGGTAAAACTACTCATTTCTTACAATGCCAAGATTGATATGACGGATGTAAATGGTTGGACAGCTTTACGGATCGCATGCAATTACGGACAAGCCTCAGCTACTGTTCTCAGATTGGAAGAGGATATAAGAGTGTCAATTAAACATAAGGATACACCATCATTAAAGATACATTCAAAACCACAGTATGATGAAATAGTTTCGTATTTGATCAAAAATGATGCCGATGTCAATTTAGTTGATAAATATGGCTGGACATGCTTAATGTCAGCCTGTCAGTATGGCCCAACCAATATTGTAGACCTTTTATCAAGCAAGGTAGACAATATCAACAAAGCTAATAATACCGGATGGACAGCATTACACATCACTTGCATTAGGGGTGATACAGATGTTGCAGAACTACTTTTAAGATGTAACGCCGATATCAATAGAGCGAACAGTCGTGGATGGACTTCATTGAAGATTGCCAGTCTGGTTGGACATAAAGATATAGTTGAGTTATTACTCCGTAAAGGAGCTGATGTTAACATTGAAGACACGGACGGTTGGACAGCACTTCTGTCTGCCTGTCAAAACGGGAATAAAGTCATCGTGCAATTACTTTTGACAAACGGAGCTAAACTTCAGCATTTGGAAATGAAAATTGCAAGACATTGTGGGAATAGGCGCTTAGAAACTCTGTTTAAAAAATTATTGGAAGGCAATGCAAGTGTTGACGAGGAAGATGATACAGAAGATGACGAGGACGAGGAAATCATATCACCCTTTTTTAACCATGATGATGATGATGATGATGATGATGAAGATTATGATGATGATGATGATGATGATGATGATGATGATGATGATGATGATGATGATGATGATGATGATGATGATGATGATGATGACGATGATGATGATGATGATTTTTGTATGTAAGAAAACGATAAAATATCCATGGATCTTCTGAATGTACTTAATTCAATTACTTTTACGGGAGATTTGACGAGTCTATATAGTCTTGTTCATACTAAAGTTATTAAATCTCTTAACTAAAAAAAGTTTAATGTGTTTGAAATAGTGTACAAAATAGTTGGTACCACTTTTTTTTATCTTGTTAGTAAACTGAGCTGAATGTGTTATGATTTAGTATCTATAAGAATTGATTATACTGTTTTGTTAATCAGCAGTACTTTATATTATGTTTAAGCTTCAATAAAAGATGTTTACAATTGTATATCGATACCATGCTTATACTTTTTTAAATGCTGTTAAAATTAATAAGAATATCATATTTCCGTATGTTTGGGAAATCATTTACTTATTAGGGGTTGGGACTGGATTTCTCATATTGATAATACAATTAAATGGATTTCTTAAATTCATATTTATTCATTTCGACCACTTTTTATTATTAGAAAAAATATTGAAAGGCCAAAAATGCCTCAATTTCGACGACAATTTTAATCATATCTACCACGCTGTTTTCATCCCTAAACAAGCCACAAATACTACATTCATAATAATAAATCCAGTCTCATTATGGAAACATATAGCGTTTGTTATAATATATTATAAAAAAAAACAAAAAAAAAAACAAAAAAATATATATATATGTTTGTTTGTTCTATTTTACGTTTGTTTTTTTCAAAGACCAGGTTAATTGAAACTATATTTGTAATTACATGTAATAAATTACAAATGGGAAAGTAATGGGTTGTTGAGCAGATTTTCCATTACATTTAATTGAAAGTATTGAATTACATTGCCTTTTTGCTATGAAATTATGAATTATTTTTGTTTTACTTTCAATAACATTGGTGTATTTGCTAGGAAGTTTTAAGCTTTTCTTGTTTCTCTGATGCACTCAATTGTTGTATTTCTATTAGTATATACTTTGTACATATACTACACTTTGAACTTTTTATTGTTTACTTTTGATTGTAAATAATCATTATGTTTAAGAAAAAGTAGTATCTTTCATTGCTAAATATGGCAAATTCGTATAACAGATAAAAAAATCTTCATTGTCATTTAATCTATAAATTAATTTCTACATATCTGAAACAAATCAGAAGATAAAAAACAAAACTTATTTATTGACATTCAATCTGTAAATTGGTTATTCTAACCAGTTACTATAATCTAAGCCTCTGGATATATTTTTTTCTCTTTACTAATTAATGTCCCTTGATTTTATGTCGAAGGCAATATATATATATATATATATATATATATTTCTTGCAACATAATTAATTAATTAATTAACATATTGATGTACATTTGATTGGTGATTTAACCAAATTGTTAGGTAACCTAATGAAAAAATCCCCCCAATGTATTAATTTTTGTTTTAACAACCAAACAAAACATAGGCTAAGTAAAAATGAAAATACAAAAACAAATTATGAAAAATTTAATTAAATTGAGAGAAAAAAATATTTGATTTTAAGAAAGTCATGAAATACAATAAATTTTATGTAAGGTAAACTCAGATGCTTCTAAAACATATATATCTATTAATGATTAATTATTAAAATGAAATATAAAATTTCAAAACTGCATCTACAAATGTTTCAGTGCGAGATCATGTAAACAGTGCATGTTAAAAATCTAGCTGGTTCACATTTTTAACCTATGTAATAAAGTTCGTATCACAAAAGTAATTGAAATGTAAGTTGACATGTTTAATGAAATTAATTACAATTAAAAATCGATGTAATTGAAATTTAAGGAATACATTTGGTATGTAATTGACCCCAGGTCGGATCTTTAATATTCCATTTAAGAAACACAGCATGATCAACAAATGGACATTTTTATATACTTGTATTTAATTGTTTTTCCATACGTTTAACACGTAGGCGTTTTTAAGGATAAGCTTTTATGAAAACCCTTATTGTGTATAAGAGTTTTTAATCATTAAATACGTAGTTTTAGTGAGGTTTTAATTATACCTGAACCGTTGTGACTTTAACAAGAGTCTCTCTTAAAGATGTCATAAGTTAAAACAGAATAGAAACCTCTGTTTTCTGACCCTAGCAAGCAGAGTTTTTATTTTTGTTTCCGTAAAATTACATAAAAAGATGGTAAAACTACTCATTTCTTACAATGCCAAGATTGATATGACGGATGTAAATGGTTGGACAGCTTTACGGATCGCATGCAATTACGGACAAGCCTCAGCTACTGTTCTCAGATTTGAAGAGGATATAAGAGTGTCAATTAAACACAAGGATACACCATCATTAAAGATACATTCAAAACCACAGTATGATGAAATAGTTTCGTATTTGATCAAAAATGATGCCGATGTCAATTTAGTTGATAAATATGGCTGGACATGCTTAATGTCAGCCTGTCAGTATGGCCCAACCAATATTGTAGACCTTTTATCAAGCAAGGTAGACAATATCAACAAAGCTAATAATACCGGATGGACAGCATTACACATCACTTGCACTAGGGGTGATACAGATGTTGCAGAACTACTTTTAAGATGTGACGCCGATATCAATAGAGCGAACAGTCGTGGATGGACTTCATTGAAGATTGCCAGTCTGGTTGGACATACAGATATAGTTGAGTTATTACTCCGTAAAGGAACTGATGTTAACATTGAAGACACGGACGGTTGGACAGCACTTTTGTCTGCCTGTCAAAACGGGAATAAAGTCATCGTGCAATTACTTTTGACAAACGGAGCTAAACTTCAGCATTTGGAAATGAAAATTGCAAGACATTGTGGGAATAGGCGCTTAGAAATTCTGTTTGAAAAATTATTGGAAGGCAATGCAAGTGTTGACGAGGAAGATGATACAGAAGATGACGAGGACGAGGAAATCCTATCACCCTTTTTTAACCATGATGATGATGATGATGATGATGATGATGATGATGATGATGATGATGATGATTTTTGTATGTAAGAAAACGATAAAATATCCATGGATCTTCTGAATGTACTTAATTCAATTATTTTACGGGAGATTTGACGAGTCTATATAGTCTTGTTCATACTAAAGTTATTAAATCTCTTAACTAAAAAAAGTTTAATGTGTTTGAAATAATGTACAAAATAGTTGGTACCACTTTTTTATCTTGTTAGTAAACTGAGCTGAATGTGTTATGATTTAGTATCTATAAGAATTGATTGTATTGTTTTGTTAATCAGCAGTACTTTATATTATGTTTAAGCTTCAATAAAAGATGTTTACAATTGTATATCGATACCATGCTTATACTTTTTTAAATGCTGTTAAAATTAATAAGAATATCATATTTCCGTATGTTTGGGAAATCATTTACTTATTAGGGGTTGGGACTGGATTTCTCATATTGATAATACAATTAAATGGATTTCTTAAATTCATATTTATTCATTTCGACCACTTTTTATTATTAGAAAAAATATTGAAAGGCCAAAAAAATGCCTCAATTTCGACGACAATTTTAATCATATCTACCACGCTGTTTTCATCCCTAAACAAGCCACAAATACTACATTCATAATAATAAATCCAGTCTCATTATGGAAACATATAGCGTTTGTTATAATATATTATAAAAAAAAACAATATATGTTTGTTTGTTCTATTTTACGTTTATTTTTATTCAAAGACCAGGTTAATTGAAACTATATTTGTAATTACATGTAATAAATTACAAATGGGAAAGTAATGGGTTATTGAGCAGATTTTCCATTACATTTAATTGAAAGTATTGAATTACATTGCCTTTTTGCTATGAAATTATGAATTATTTTTGTTTTACTTTCAATAACATTGGTGTATTTGCTAGGAAGTTTTAAGCTTTTCTTGTTTCTCTGGTGCACTCAATTGTTGTATTTCTATTAGTATATACTTTGTACATATACTACACTTTGAACTTTTTATTGTATACTTTTGATTGTAAATAATCATTATGTTTAAGAAAAAATAGTATCTATCATTGCTAAATATGGCAAATTCGTATAACAGATAAAAAAATCTTCATTGTCATTTAATCTATAAATTAATTTCTACATATCTGAAACAAATCAGAAGATCAAAAACAAAACTTATTTATTGACATTCAATCTGTAAATTGGTTATTCTAACCAGTTACTATAATCTAAGCCTCTGGATATATTTTTTTCTCTTTACTAATTAATGTCCCTTGATTTTATGTCGAAGGCAATATATATATATATATATTCCTTGCAACATAATTAATTAATTAATTAACATATTGATGTACATTTGATTGGTGATTTAACCAAATTGTTAGGTAACATAATGAAAAAATCCCCCCAATGTATTAATTTTTGTTTTAACAACCAAACAAAACATAGGCTAAGTAAAAATGAAAATACAAAAACAAATTATGAAAAATTTAATTAAATTGAGAGAAAAAAATATTTGATTTTAAGAAAGTCATGAAATACAATAAATGTTATGTAAGGTAAACTCAGATGCTTCTAAATCATATATATCTATTAATGATTAATTATTAAAATGAAATGTAAAATTTCTAAACTTTGCATCTACAAATGTTTCAGTGCGAGATCATGTAAACAGTGCATGTTAAAAATCTAGCTGGTTCACATTTTTATCCTATGTAATAAAGTTCGTATCACAAAAGTAATTGAAATGTAAGTTGACATGTTTAATGAAATTAATTACAATTAAAAATCGATGTAATTGAAATTTAAGGAATACATTTGATATGTAATTGACCCCAGGTCGGATCTTTAATATTCCATTTAAGAAACACAGCATGATCAACAAATGGACATTTTTATATACTTGTATTTAATTGTTTTTCCATACGTTTAACACGTAGGCGTTTTTAAGGATAAGCTTTTATGAAAAACCTTATTGTGTATAAGAGTTTTTTTAATCATTAAATACGTAGTTTTAGTGAGGTTTTAATTATACCTGAACCGTTGTGACTTTAACAAGAGTCTCTCTTAAAGATGTCATAAGTTAAAACAGAATAGAAACCTCTGTTTACTGACCCTAGCAAGCAGAGTTTTTATTTTTGTTTCCGTAAAATTTGAAATTGTTAAAGGCCGTATTAACCCATGCTGATTTAATGGATACGTGTATACAGGTAATTAAAATGATTACAGTATAAACAATACTAAAATGGAATATTCTATTTTTCATTTTCTAACAGAAGTCAAATTTGTTTTTCTACACGTCACTTTCAGCACAATTATTAGCAAGGCTACAACCATTCATCTCGTGTTGGGATGGAAAAGGGCTGGACTTTTATTTCACCTTACAATTTTGTTTCGGTTTCATTAAGAAAAAAAACTATTTTATTCAATAATAAATTCAAAATGGTCAATACAGGAAAAAGATTTTTTAACTAAGTGATGAATATTTTTTTCCCTAAATTTTCAATTGTTTTCACTTCCCTTTTGAAACATATTACTTGTTTTCAAAAAAAATATCGTTAAACAATTATTTAAAAAAAACATTTTTTAATGTTTACTCATTCAGTGTTATATCTAGTCTCACTATTTTTAATATATACCACCTTTGTTTAGTATGACGATAAATTTTCACTTTTGTTCTCGTGTTGGGAACAACAAAATTATTTATTTTGTAAAAGTTGTTTCCGTACTCTATGTATACCTTACAACAAAATTATTTTTATTTTCCTGTGTACATTATTTTGTTTTGCGGCATTTTGTCCAAGGTTGTGGTTGTTTTTCCGATATTGTTTTAAATCTAAACCCTTTGTTTTATTAATTTTGTATTTACATTGTGTCATAGATCAAATTTATTCGTTCAGTGTATGTTCACTTGTTTTTGTTAGTATGTCTTTTGATCGAGTTAAGCCATTTGAATTGATATTTTATAGTGTGTCTTTCTATCTTGTGATGTTACACTATTGTTTCAGGTAGGATAAAGGTTGTCGCCTATTAAAACGTTTAAACCCGCTGCATTTGTTTGTCATTGTCCTAAGTCAGGGACAAACCTGATGTTCAGTGGTTGTCGTTTGTTGATGTGGTTCATAA